CTGTCTATGGGTTCGTTTGGTTGCGCTAACCTTCGGCTCATGACTCGCGTGACCAGTATTTTGGGTAATTCTCGGCACCGGTTTCTCGTGTCGATGGGTCCGCTGCACGACCGCTACTCATTGCCCGCCAATATGTGGGGCCAGAGGTTTGTGCCGCAAACGGCAATTCTGCCATTAGTGGATGTAGTGGTCACTCACGGCGGCAACAATACTGTGACCGAGAGTTTCTATTACGGCAAACCGATGGTAGTGTTGCCACTGTTTGGCGATCAATACGATAACGCCCAGAGACTACAGGAGTTGGGACTCGGACTCCGACTCAACCCTTTCTATTGTACTGAAGAAGAATTGATTGGTTCTGTCGACCAATTGGTGGCCGACAGACAATTGAGACAACGAATGAAAGCCATTGGAGAGAGAATTAGAAAAACTGATGATAAGAGTCGGGTCTCAGATTTGATTGAAAAAATTGCTCAAAAATAAATACTCTTTTTTATATTTATATATAATTTTTATTATTTATATTCGTTCTCACATTTAATATTTTATTATTTATTAAAAAGGGGTTTTAAAATTTACTATTATTTTATATTTGAATTGTTTGTTTAATTTTTTTTATCAATTAATTGTATTTTATTAAGAACCATTTTTAGTTTTAAGTGCTCCTTTACCATATCATGCAAAAAAATGTGCATGGTAATTAAATTTATACATTATATAAAAATATATTCCATTTAAATAAAATAACTTAGAATTGTTGTTAAATCAATAAACATTATTTATGTTAAAGTCAATCAGTTTTGTCAAATGTGTCTAAAATTGTTTACAATTAATGATTAAAAACATAAAAATTATTAGTAAAACAGATTTAATTAAATGTGATCACAAAACACAAAGTATGTTCAGTAGAAATAAATTAATTTAAACACTTTTCATAATGTATACAATGTTCACATTTAACAACCCTTTAGACCCCTAGACATAGGGTATTTATGAATTAAACTTTATTTTAATTTAAATATTTATTTCATTCAACTTTTACATAAATTCAATGATAAAACTCTTTTATCAGTGAATCCAAAGGTCTTGTTTTGCTCTGAATATATCAAATGATTAATGAAAACATAATTAATTAAAAATATATTAATTTCATGTTCATAGAAAATGCATGTTACTTTATTGGCATTTATATTCGTTTTCATTCTGTCCTCTATTCAAACGATTCGGGTTTATTACCGAAGAAAGTTTAGGTATTGGATTGAACGTGGGATTAATGGACCAAAACCTAGATTATTGTTGGGTACACTGTATGAGCAGTTGAAAACTCCGTTACCTATTCTTGAGATACAATGGTATGAAAAATATGGCAAACTTTACGGGTAAGCAAATCATTATAAAAAAATTTTAACACATATCTTAAAAGTGAATGCAATATGAAATGTACAGAATATACAACGGAAGCAAACCAACGCTGATAGTGGGTCAGCCCGATCTGATCAAAACAATATTGGTTAAAGACTTTCACAACTTTACCGACAGAATGGTATTGAAAACAAAGCATCCGATTTTGGACAAGCATTTGGTGAACGCGAGGGGAGACGACTGGAAACGCATTCGAGCGGTTGTCAGTCCGACCTTCAGTTCGGGTAAAATACGGCGAATGGAGGCTCTGGTGAGCGCTTGTGTCCACACGTTTGCCGGCGTATTGGAGACGTACGCCCAGACGGGACAGACCGTCAACATAAAGGACTTGTTCGGCAACTTCACGATGGATGTGATCGCCTCGTGTGCCTTCGCCACCAAAACAGACACACATAACGATCCGCTCAATCCGTTTGTCACAAACGCCCGAAAGATATTCAATGTGGAGCTGAAGAAGGCGTTACCGTCGCTATTATTGCCGACATTTGTGTTAAAACTATTGAAAATACGGTCCATTCATAATGAAAAGGCCAATGAGTTCTTCTTCGACACCACTCGACATATACTAAACAAACGCCGAAATGCGGACAACAGTAGCGATAAATATAACGATTTTCTACAATTGCTAATCAATGCCAACAACAGTGAGACGATTGATGAAAATGACGATACAAATGATGGTAAAATTAATGTGCATAAACTATTTCAAATCTAGATGTTTCTAATAATCATTTTTTAATTACTTTCCAAAGAGACGACAGAAGTGGAGACAAACTTGATTGAAGACAAGACTGGGAAGACTGGGACCACAAATAGGCACTTAAGTACTGATGAGATGTTAGCGCAGGCGTACGTGTTTTTCGCGGCCGGTTATGAGACCACAGCCAACGTCCTGTCATTCTGTGCCTACGAATTGGCACTCAATCCAGAGATCCAACAAAAACTGTTTGTAGAGTTGGCCGGTGTTGGCCACGAGTCCGACGGACACCAGGAGTGGTCGTACGAAGAGTTGGCAAAACTACCGCTTTTGGACGCAATCGTATCGGAAACCCTACGCCTGCACTCGCCGTTTACACGACTGACCCGAGTGTCAAACACTGAGTACAAGTTGGGCGACAAACAGATCCCAATCAAAAAGGGTCACTCCATAGACATTCCCATCTATGCTATGCATCATTCGGACGAGTATTTCCCGAATGCCAATCAATTTATTGCCGAAAGATTTTTGCCCGAAAATCGGCACAAAATAATTCCCTACACATACCTGCCCTTCGGCTCCGGACCTCGAAATTGTATTGGTATGAAATTTGCATTAATGGAGACTAAGCTATGTTTGGCCCAAATTGTTAGCAGATTTAAACTAATCAAATGTGTGGACACAGAAACACTTCATTATAAACGGATTACACGTCTGTCAACGCCTGACAAAGTTGTTGTTCAATTAGAAATGAGATAATAATGTGATTATTTACTCACTACTTGTAAAACCTCTGAACAACATTTTTTAATTGAAGTTTTTATTAATATAATAATTTTCATTTACGGTTATAGACAGTAATAATAATTTTTAGAAATATCAATAGTTGTAAATTGTTGTTGTTTTTATTTCACAAATAAATATTATCTACAAATTCATAGATAACATGTTTATTAGTAAATTATTGTTCAATCTTTAAAGTGTGGGTTTAAAGGTTTAAATAAAAAAGTACAAAAATAACAGTTTATTTTAAAAGTCTTATAAAACAATTTATGTCTAATCTTTCCTCAAATATTATTTTACTTTTTGTCAAAATTGGAAATATTGTCAACGAAAATGTAATTTCCAAATAAGACATTCATTCAATTTCATTTGAAAATTATATCAAATATTGTTTTATTATTTATTTTTATCGTTACCATCAATGATAAGAAGATTGTTATTTCAGACAAACTTTTAAAATAATTTTTCATTTAGTGGATAAACATGTTATTTGTTTGTAAAGTTTTTTTTTAAAATTATATTTTATATTTATTTTTATTTTATAATTCTATTTGTATTGTAATAAATAGCTTAATTATTTTTTATTTTTAATAATAATTGGTTTATGAATCATAGGTTTATTAATTTATATAAAGCATTATATAATACAGGATAAAGTAACATACAAGGATGTAGTGTAAAATACTGTATTTATAAAAATACATTTCACGTTAATTTTATACTAAAGCCTTATTAAAATTATATTTAGATAATAAGCTAGATTCTAGCTGCTAGAATATAGTGTATATCATATTTAATAAATTGACGTATGAATAAAAATATTTACTGTAAATGTTATTTATTACCTAATTATGAAACTAATTAGTGCTAAAAATGCTTATTATATGCTGAATAAATTCAATGCATATTTATTTTATAAATATTTTTAACACAAAATTCTTTATTTTAAATTTTCATATATTTCTTAATTGTAATTTAATCTGAATTCATATAAATCCTATTAACATTCGTAAAAATATTATTAATAATTCACAGAATATAACATTTAATATACATGTAAAATATAATGTATATAATATGATATACCGATAGAAATATGGATTAAAAATAAGTGGGCATTAGATTTGGATGTTTTGTATGACAGAGAAAATGTATAAAGTATTGAATATCGATAACATGAATACTAAATAGTGAGAGATTGTGTCTAATATAAACTGAAACGTAAAGACTGGCAGTTAATTATATTTATATTGTATTTCACAAATGATTGATCGATAATTTGTCTCATTTATCACTACTGGTGGCAAATTATCTTAAAATCCTAAATGTAGTGCCAAAGCAAAACATGTAATACATGTCATGCACTTCTAGTTGAAAACTTTAATAATTTTCACATGATCAGTTTGCTTCATATTTGTTTGTACTGTAATATGTAATAATACATCTATTCTGACGTTCATTTACGTTACATAAAACATGTATTAATTAATACATAATAAAAGGTGTAATTATGCGGTTAAACATTATGTAAATTGTTATATGAATATATAATGTGTTTTTTAATTGGAAATATCTCGTAATTGATCTTTTGGTTATACAGTGCAACTTCTCCATAAGGAACGGCCAGTTGCACGGCATAAGTGTTCCCTATAGAGAGGGTTCCTTCAAGGGAGGTTCTGGTATAGCTATAGAAAATCCAAAATATGCTTAAAATCCGTTCCTCTAAAGGAGGTATTCCCCCAAGAGAAGTTCCCCCAAGAGAGGTTGCACTGTATAGAATCTATTAAAAAATTAAAAATGAAAAACAATTTGGTATTCTAAAATAACCATAATGTTAACAACATTTGTCGTCTCTAATTATACTGTATTGTTAAAATTATTTTTAATACATAAATGAATTGTAAATTTTTTACACATAATCAAAGATAACTGCAAAATCACTTATTACCAAGGGCATATAGAAAATAAGGGAACTGTGGTTATATTGATAAATATATTATATTCTGTTATTAATTAATGACAATTAATAGTTTACTTATTCATTTCTATTAATTAATAGCAAATTATAAATATTACAGTTATTAACTTATTAATAGCAATAAATTAATAGTATGGTAGAAATATCCAAGGTAGTTTGAAAATACATGGAAACCTAGATATTTAAAACTAAAAATCCTACATGCATTATCAAACATTTGCAAACATGACATTCAAATTCGTATTTCAAATAAATATGCAAAAAATAATTCAATTCACTAAAAATTTTATATTTAATTTATATTCCATTTGAACTTACAATCAATTGTCTGTTTTAATATAAAATTTTTATTCACAACAGGAAGAGAGAGAGAGAGAGAGAGAGAGAGAGAGAGAGAGAGAGAGAGAGAGAGAGAGAGAGAGAGA